GATCGTATTTACACTGACTGCCTAGTCAGGGATTCTCATCATAATTCAAGTCTACTTGATTTATGCAGTACGACCAAGCGGTGCATCACGAATTCATATGGCACTCGGACAAAACCCTTGGTGATCGAAGTGAAATAAAAATATCTGCTCAGCAGTCAGGTCTGGTAGCCCAGTTGGAAAAGCATAGACCTGAGAACCTAGCGGTCGACGTTTCGAATCCTGTCGTAGCATAAATATTCACTTCAACTTCAGTCATCTTCCAGTATAAGCTTTATTCATCAATGCACAAACTGAAAAGGTAGTGCGGCCGCAACAAAGTTGTGCTAGTAGTCTTCTACCCATCACATTTGATACAGAACTGGTATAAAGGAAAACAGACTTTTTCCAGTATATTTACTTCTAGCAAACAACAACGTTACGGTTTTACTTAAGCAATATACAGATCCCCATTAATAATCCATGGCAAGAATACAATGAGCTAACAACTGTTTCCAATAACGTGCTCTTCAGGTGTTATAGTGATAAATCCATAAGAATGGGTGAAATGCAGTAGTGAAACTTAGGCATAATGCATAATTATTTCAATAATGAAACAGTCAATTTCAAGAGTAAACGGAGATCAAATCGAATGGATGTAAGTTTTTCTGAAGTCCATTAGTGATCAGTTTAGTGTCAGCTGTACCATGGAACCAATCTTGACAGAAAAACACAAGGAAACAAAATCTAGAGATAATGATTCATTCGGGTACTAAAGTGTGCATATTGGCTTACTAAGACTCAAATGATTTTTATATTAGCTATGAGTTATATTCAAGTAAGTTGAAAAATCATGTGAATACAAGGATGAGCTAATGGATGTATAGTATTAAGATGACTACTGGCATAGTGAAAATTAAAAAGGACATAACAGTAATGTCTTGAAAACGAATATCTATTACTGAAGTGAAGGAGACAAAGCTAAATAATGGGATTAGACTGGGAATCTAAAATGTGAAATTCGTAGTAGAAAGGTTCATACAGATGAATGTATTTAAAACAAATAGGTTGAAAATATTTCATAGTCCAATTCTACTATGTAAAGCGTGTTCAGCACTGATAAAAGTTATGAGTAGAAAGGATTCAAAAACATTATTCCATTGTTTGACATTAAGAAGTATGGTATTTCCAAATTTACTCATCAGCATTATTCTGTTAAGCTGACACGAAAGTCAAAGCTAATACCATTAAAGATACCTGGTTTCATAACTTATATGTAGAGAAGATATTAGGGTTCCTTCATTTCAGATGTGATCTCTGTTTGCGGAAGAAAGATTTCGTGTTAATTCTTGTTCCGTTACTCCTATCCTCATAAGTTCAAAAGAAAGAATTATTTGCTGAGAATTAATTTTCGCTGTGATGTTTATTTTTCCCATTTTTCCCCCCGGTTATTATTCTTCATAGCCATAAATAACTCTTCTTTGGTTGAATTCTGAATCGACCTCACTACCTTCATTATTATTTTATTATTTGCCTATTTTCTCACGTAATGAAACATATTATCGCTTAACTATCCCCTATCGGATAAATGATGACGTTTCAATCCACTATTCAATGACAGATTACTGTAACCAGTCTTCTGAATCTTATTGTACACATCCACTAAATGATATCCTTAAGGTTTGTGTTTTTACGTAGAATTGTGTCCTCGTTTTTCAATTTTCCTTCATTTACGTGCTGCTGTACTTGCAAAGAAAAAATTTTGGAGTATATTCTTGGATATCTGAAAGATTCTTATGATTATATCAATCCATATTTTTAAGCATCTAAAGTTGGAAAGTAACTGTAACTTCAGTGACAGAAAGCGTTTAGTAAGAATGTTAATGATAACAGGTGCACAGTTTTAAGTGTGAACGGTCTGCCAAATCCTTACATAGTAAACAGAACTTTAAAGTTCTTAAATATCTGAATTGAGATGATAAAATGATGACTGATGGGATATCTGTCTGATTAGTGTGAATTACTTTTCTGTAGAATGTTCAGATTTTGTAAAGGATTCATCGAAATATACGTTGATGAGTACACTGAAGAGCGCAGATTTTTTTAAATTTGGAAAGCACTGTAAAGTTCTAGACAGTGATGAAAATTTTCGTCGAATTCCGTGTTTGTTTTGCCACGAGATCATAACGTTTTAATAATGGCAGAAGTAGTCGCTCGACAACAGCATATTTCAGACAAATAATGCACAATACGTCATTGGCATCTTCTCAGTGTAGGAAATCACAAAACGGTTACACTTGTACTTACTGATAATTGGTTCTCTTAATTGCAGTTTATTTTAGTTTACCATTGTCATCTCACTCACAGGAGAGTAGACCACTAACCGAAGTAATTTCAAGTTGGTGGTCATAATAGACTAACATCAGGTGATAACCTATTGAGAACTTAGAAGCAATGGACTGCTGTTTCACCCTAATGTGGGGCTCCTCAGTACTGTTTACTGACAACCCCAACAGGGCCCGAACTCAGAACCTTCTGGTTCTACGGCAGGCATGTTACTCTTGAGTCATTGGGTCAGAATGCAACGGTCCATATTCACCTTATTCTATTAGTGCGACGTTCATCCAATGCATTCGTTGAGTTCCTGTACCAACGTCCCTCTTGTATTGCCCCAAAGGTCACTTCGTCTCATTAGAACTTCCGAGAACTCATCTTGAAGCAAGTCATAAATAAAGACTCGATAGTAATCCAGTCCTCAAATTTCTTTAATTTATGCAAATTTCTTCAACTTGTAAAATGAGCTGATAGAAATCACAATAAAGAAACCATTTATTCATCGTTCAGTCTGATAGTGTGTGTCTATATAATGTTGGTCTGTAAGTATTTATTTGTTTTAACTTTTTAACGCAGTTATTTAAGATGCATTGAGAAAAGTGTGTTTACAGTTTTCAAAGAGACATTTAAATTGTTTTTTTATGTTTCACCAGATTAGCAAATGACAATATACATTCTCCATAACGTTTGCTGCGCAATTAGGTATTCGAATCTACCAATTTCAAAGCTACTCCAGGTTTTTATCGAACAGACTTATACTTTTTCTTTGTCTTCTTAAACAAAACAACTACATGTTTTTTATTGTACGAAATCTGGTAGCTATTAAAAAATTGATAAAAGTCATACCAGTAACTACCTGCTCAATAAACAAAATGTCCTCAATCCAGTTGTTCAACAATATGACACAGACTTTTAAAAATAATAATATTTATTTACATCAATTTTGCAGATATGATTATTACTTTTATTGATGAAGAATCATTGGTGATGCTGTCTACCATCTCTTTTTCATCCCAGGTAGCGGCAATCACATACCAATAATGGATTTTAAGTTTCATGCTGAATTCTTGTGTCTATTCATAGGTATAGTTAAGCTTTCTGATAGAGATAAAAATCGTGTTTAGTGAATGTATAAAAGTATCATATAAAGAAGAAAGGGAGGCACTTCTACAAGTTCATTCCCAAAGGAGTAATGTTGGCCGTATTTAATGGTAATATACAGGCATACGTCATTTTTGTCAAGTTTCAGTAAGTTTATGTGTAAATTACGTTTCTTAATGGCAGGTAGCTTCAACCTCCACTTATTCAGTGTTGCATGCTAATGATAGAAGAATAACAGCAGAATAAATGTGCACAAACTGAAAAGATGGAGAAGTGGAAGTATCATCTTCGCATTGACTGAAGAACCAGGATTTGTATTTAATCACTACATGTTCTATGTGGAAAACAATAAAGTTTGGGGCCAATGCTTCCAATGTTAAACTTCATATGTTTCGCTTAAAAAAAATGATGAAAAGTTCATAAATGAATAAATGCGTGTTGTTTGCCATTTATTGCTTTTCATTAATTGCGGAACTATGTACTTCACGTGTTCTCACCTAAGTTAACATCAAAGATTCATAACATTGTTGAATATTATGACTGCGTGCCAAGTATGTGCATTTTTCTGATGCAGCATCGAAAAGTAACAGGTTTGTTTTAACTTATCAGGTGGACTTTCACAACATGTTGTCCGCCATTTTCAAGAGTCAAGAAAACTTGTGGATGGTAAGCATGAGAATTTCTTTGTCAACTTCATAATCAATAAATCACAGGTTTTACTAATAATGAAGTTGTAGTCCCAAGAATATGAACTGTTTCTGTCCATTATAGTTGGGTGTTATGGACGTAATAACACATCGATCAACAGTGCATAGTTTCAGCCAACGTTTGTTCCGTTAAAAAGTGTTTAGTTACATCCAAGCCAAAATTAAGAGATGAATTGTTTTTCTACACAAGGAACCAAAAAGCAGCAGGCAGAGAAAACAAGGGAGAATTCCAAAATGGCTTTCGTTTCTGTGTACATATTTCCTATGACTCAACTTCCTTTGCTATGACACGCATTGATTATTAAACAATTAAGAATATAGCTTTCATGCTTTTACATAGTAAGGAAACTTTATCTGCGTTTACGACGGTGGCAAGAAGGCGTGTGTGCCATTAAAATGGAGTAGGAATTTGTGAAAAAACAAATAGTATTGCAATATTAACATAATTTCGTTCAGTAGGATTAGTTAAAATGTGGTAATGACATAGCAAAGTAAGAAATTTGTGTAAACTGGAATGAAGCGGAGAAGTCATGAAATGACGTCATAAAAAAGCAACGTACCTGAAAAAAACCCGTTAAAATTTAGGTGGGTTAACTAGTTCACCAGTTAATAACATGTCCTAACCCCGGGTAAAGAGGGAAGGTTGGACATATGTCTAGCAACCCCAGAAACCCATAAAACAAATCCAATCGCTAAACAAACTTCAAAGCACAAACAAAATATAAAAATTAAAACAAAACTATTCCTCACTGGAATCGGAGAGACAAAATGACGCCAGTTGGTGAAAGCCTTCGGAAAGCCAATTGGCCGATGTGTCTTCTCTTCTCTCAATGAAAACGAAAGTAAACGTGGGGACATAGAATGTCCACACGATGTTTGAACCCAGCAAGGCAGCCCAGATTGCAAACGAGATGAGAAGGTATCACATTGAAGTGCTTGGAATTTGCGAAAGCAGATGGAATGGAAGTGGATTCTCCAAACTCATAAGTACAGAGTCAATATTCAACACCAATATTGTCACCCAGACGACAACCACGAGCACACTGAGTTTTCGAGTGGCTATCATGATGTCCTCAAGAGCATTGAAGGCTGTCATGCAGTGGGGACCAATCTCTTCCAGCATCGGGATCATAACAGCAAGATTCAACTCAAAAGGAAGGAAGGAAGGTCACAATCATACAAGGCTACACTACGCTATGCACCTACAAATAATGCAGATGAAGAGAAGAATGATGAATTCTACAGATCACTGCAATCAGCACTGGACAAGACTCCAGTTGGCGACAACTAAATTCTAATGGGTGGGGTGACATGAGTGCCAAACTGCATGGAGTGGACAACACAGGAAGAGAACTAACCATGGGTTGAGAAGCGTTAGGTGAAATGAACGAGAATGGAGAATTGTTTGCAGAATTCTGTGCATTCAACGATTTGGTGATTGGAGTGAGGCAGTGTGTTCAAGCACAAGGATATCCACAAAGCGAGCTACATGGATTTCACCAGATAAACACACTAATAATCAGATCGACCTCATCTCAATGTGAAGAAAGTGGAGACGCAGTCTACTGAACACAAGGTCGAGAAAGGGAGCAGATGTAGGTTCACACCACTCACTGTCTAGTGCAAGGAACCTTCTGAATCAAGTTGAAAGCCTCCAAGGAAGTTGGTGATAGACTGCAGTTCAAGTTCAACACTCAGAACAGAAACTGGAGGATGAAACTTCAAACGATATCTTCACGTCAGCCATGAAGGCAAAATGGGAGATATCGAGCAACATCCCTGAAGAAACCTGTGTGGATGAGCACTGGAACTCTTTGAAAGAGACATGGAAAGAAACCTACATACCTGTATAAGAAAGGAAGAAGAAGGAAGATAATGAATGGATCTCGACGGACACATGGAATCTGATATTGCAGAGATAGACAGGTGGTGATGGTGAAGCAGAAGATAAACCAGTGCAAGGATGCTCAACGAAAAGAGGAACTGAACACAATGTATAAAATACTACACTGTGCAAAGAAGTGAAGATGAGTGCACATAAGTGAAGTCGAACAGTCTGCAGGTAAGAGAGACCTGACGACATTGTATCAAATAACCAGGTTACTGCCACCTGGGAGGGAAGAGATCAACGCAGATGAAACCAATAAAAGATGATGACGGATATTTAATTGCCAAAGATGAAGAACAAAGGAAACAGTGGGCCGACCACTTCAAGAAGCTCTTGAATCGACCAACACCACCACCTGCACTTCGTCCACAAATACCACCAGCAGTCCAGCCACTGAACTACCAGTGAACACTAATCCTCCAACAAAAGTCGAAGTCCTGAATGCCATAAAGCCACTGAAATGTGGGAAAGCAGCACGACCAGATGGGATTTCGCCAGAAACACTGAGAGCAGACGCAGACACAACAGAAGACACGCTCACACCACTGTTGCAGAAGGTTTGCAAGGAAGGAAGCGAAGGTACCTGCTGATTGATTGGAGGAAGGGCTATTTTGTCAAACTCCCAAAGAAGGGAGACCTAAGTCCTCGCAAGAAGTGGCGCAAAATCACGCTCCTGTCCACCCAAAGCAAGCAAATATTAAACCGCATCATCCTGGAGAGACTGAAGGATGCACTGGATTCAAAACTACCACCGGAACAGGCAGGCAGGCCGGCAGGCAGGCAGGCTGGCTGGCTGGCTGGCTGGATTCAGGAAGTACATATCATGTGCAGACCGAATGGCAACGCTACACTACGCATCACAGAACAGAGTACAGAATGGCAGTCAATCCTCTACCTCAACTTCATCGACTCTGAGAAGGCCTTTGACAGCGTCGACAGAGAGGGTATTTGCAAACTGCTTCAACACTACGGAATACCACAAACCTTTATCAACCTCATTCAACAACTATATGAAGACGCCACATGCCAGCCAAGTAATTCACAATGGGAAGCTCAGCTCAGTGATGCTTTTGCACTGGAAGTGAAGACAGGGAGGAGTGAAACAAGGCTGCCGCCTACTATGCCTCATGATATTCATGATCGAAGTCGACTGGATCATGCAGCAAACAGTGAGAAGCGAGAAGATGGGGATAAGCTGGATGGCGGAAAAGAACCTAGAAGATTTGGATTTCGCCGATGACTTATGTCTTATGTCGTACAAAATTGAAGATGTACAGACGAAAACTAACAAGTTGACAGAAGAGGCGAAGCAGGCCATCGAAGACCGGATTTCAAATGAATGTGAAGAAGACACAGGTGATGAAGATACCCAAACAACAACAACAACAACAACAACAACAACAAAATCCAGTCACCATGAACGAGAGAAAATCAAAGGAAGTATACTCTTTCACCCAACACCTATCTAGGCGACACTGTTTCAACTACAGGCAGCACAGATGAGGACGTCAAAGCCAGCCAGGATCGGAAAAGCAAGACAGGCGTTGCTTAACCTGAAACCAGTGTGGAGATCTTCTGCACTCAGCTCAGCATGTGTAACAACATCCGGATTTTCAACACCAACCTGGTCAAGTCAGTCCTCCTATATGGTTCAGAGACTTGGCGTGTTACGAAGGGGATTTCCAACAAACTACAGACATTCATCAACAACTACCGCCTACGCTCACTCCATACTGAAGATGGAGATCAGATGACCAGAATAATAAGAATAAGCAACAAGTAACTTACTCTGACAACGAATCATTCAACAACCTATCGCCCAACGAATATGCAGTGGAAGGAAGTGGATATGGATTGGGTGTACACTGAGAAGGCCGACTGGGGACATCATGCACTAGGGCAGACCCTCGAGTGGAACCCAGATGGAAAGCGACGAGTTGGGCGTCCGAGGCTTGGGTGACATGGAGGAGATCGTGTGAGGAGGAGATGAAAGCTTGTGGTTAGTCGTGGAGCGAGGTTCAAAAGATTTCGGAGAAGAGAGTGGAATGTAGGCGTGCTACTGAAGCCTTATGTTCCACTTGGAACCCCAGGGACACATAATAATAATAATACTGATGGCCTTAAGAATATGTTTGTCTGTATCTGACATCCGATCCAAAGTTTACCAGCATTTTTTGTCTTCAATGTAACTTCTTAATTTACGAGATTTGTAGATATGAAATGCAGTACACTTCACTAAGAGAATGAACGTCGTTTCCTTAAAAAAAGGCTTGTCTTCACATTCGGGCGTCAAGTTCTACTCCTATCTACACTAATACTAGCACTACCTGTTGGTCTTCGGGATGACCAATAGGCATATTTCTTACTGAAAAATGTATGTTTTCCTCAATGTAAGTCTCCCACCCCCATCCATTACGTTGTTAGTTTATTGCTTAAACTGTAAGTATTTCTCCACTGTCTTTAGTCTAGAGAATGGGTTTTTATAGGTGTCTCAAGAATTTACCATAGGTCCTCCCATCGCCCTCAGAAGACTAGACTGAAGTATTTGATGAGATATATTGTGAAACTGGAGGAATGTCTGCTTTCCTTTTTTTGATTTTATTTTGCACAGACTGTTAATCAACAGGTTTTTATTATGTCTTAGACGACCAAACACCTAATACTTGACAGCTACTTCAAAAGTTATACACTTTTTTTCGTCTTAATCAGTTTATCCTATTCGTAAATTTATGTTAAAAATTATGTTCTTTCAGCGTTAGGAAATTCTGAATTTCAGAAACTGATACATTAACCTTGATCAGAGACCACTTCATATAAAGCGCTTTTATCAGACAATGGTGATTTTCAGTTTTCTAAAAGATGAAGTAGAGAGTAGAGTCAAGTAAATACAGAAGTCCGTACTATTAGCGTTTTCGTATTCTGTCTACCATAAATAAGAACAGTGTATCACATCAGTAATGCAGTGAGAAAGGTTGTGTCCATACCTTCAAACTAGAAATGATTCTTTATTAACTTTGTTGCATTTATATTTCAAGCTTCCGGAGACCTCAGATTTAATCATGCACTTGAGAAACAAATTCCCACTAAACATTGTGCATTAGCTAAAATCTACTAAACGGGTTTTAAAATTAGTATAAAAATACCACTCAAAAAGTATTCGATTACTAACTGAAACAATTAAATAAATTAGGATGCAAATTACTGAATAGCGTAATTATACAGCATCACATGTTAACTTTCAGTAAATCAACAATCACTCATGGAAGCTTATAGTAATTGCACTGACTGGTAGTAGTTAAAGAGTTTGCAAAATCTGTACTTTGGGAAAAACTCTCATTAGCTTATGAGCTTAAGAGCCCAGCAGTAAAGCTTCAAAACCTGGCTTATAACCAAATTCAATCTTACCTTTATGCATCAAGAACTTCACTTCAGTCTCATATGAATTAGAAAATTTTAAATAACTGCTTTTCATGGCAACAACTGGTTAGTCAGAATTCCTAACCCTATGCAAAATGATGATGGTTAAATGGGAAAAGGAATTGCTTTGTGGACAATTAATTCATTCAGAATGTAGTTTTTCGCATAATATATTACAGAAATAGGAGGAGAAAATAACTAATCATCATCAGCTAGTTCCATTCAGCTAGCGGAATTCCATGTTAGAAGTCCCATAGAATTTCATAGTTCATATGAGTTTCACTTGTCATTGTGGAATTAATTCAAACAACAACCTAAATTCAAACTACACAAACTATGCGAATTTACAAAAAATAGTGTTTTGTGTACCTCATTGCTGAAAAAAAGATTTCATTTGGATATCATTATTTCATCAATTGAAGCCAAGTATCTAAAAATTCGTGGAACTCAAGAAAAACTCTTTACGCTCAAAATATATTTTGTCTTAGTTTGCACAAAAGTATTTCTCCCAGAAGTCTGTTAAAACAGTATATTTCAATAAACCACTTTTAGTGGCTTGCTAGTGTTAGATGAGTTATCTGACTGCTTTCGGAATACCTATGCTGATTGGTTCAGGTGACATTTATATTCTGTGCTATATTCAAATCTCCGATGCCTTAAAAATTATTTCAACGTTACAGATAAATGTTAATTGTGAATATCGCTAAACTGGATACTTTGGTTTTAGGGCAAACGATTAATTAAACAAAACAAATTAGTTAGATAAGCAGAATATACCTTCGTGATAATCACAATAATAATTACCATCAAAGTATGTATTCCAGATGAAAATAGAAGCGAAATAACCAAAATATAATGGATAATAAACAATCCAGCATACTGGAGTGAAATGTAGTAAAATACAGTTACTGTTATTATCAAAAAATCAAACGAACTCATTTTGTAGACCAAATAAATCATTACAAAAGAACAAAGAATTTTCCGTGATATGTTTACTTGTTTGAGTATGTGTACGAAAACCATACAGGTTAACACTGTTCTTCCTTGTAGTCTTCCTTCGGAAAGCTTCTTCTTTACGACAATTATTATCATTCAATTAAAGGCAAATAAAGTGAAATGTTTCATCGAAAACTGTGAAATTTTTTTAATAATGAAAGCAAATTAATTCTAGCAAAGTTATTTTGAATATTGGTGGCTAACAAACTTTAAATACTTATGTCTTTTAGGTGGGGAAAGGAAGGATTTTGGAATTTTTACTTTATAAGGACTAGGAATATGATGATTTTTGAGGCACAAAAGAGAAATGAACAAGAAAAACTGTAACCAGCATGTCAATCTGATGGCAGCCGTAGCGGCACTGATTCACTTATAACGGCGACAGTAGTTTGATGCAATCTCGTAAATGATTCACTTCAAGATTGATCTGATCTAGACTGCTCTCCAAGCATTTCTGTTAGAAATAAACAAATGAAACCAAAAATAAATTTTAGGAAAATGAAATACAAACCTCCAACAGGACAGCCTAATCTGAATGCTAATACATAGCGCTGTGGACAGCCAATTTTATCATTATCATTTATATGGTTTACGATACAAACGGACTTCCTTTGCAGAAAAACTCAAAGTGTAGGCAAGTATTATATGATAATCAAGGTGATAAAATTTATAAGAATCTTTGATCTCTTACTGTTATAGAACTAGGAATATCTGCCACACTAGGCCAGTTTTCTATTAAACAGGCTGGAATTTGAAGTCCAAATATTACTAAAAATCAGCAATCTTATGAGAAGCGAGATTAGGATCTGGTCCGTAACCAGCTCTAGTAGCTCAGCTGATAGATCACAGCGGCGATAAGTTGAAGGTCGCTGGTTCGAACCCTGCCGCGGGTCATTTCACCTTCAGTCATCACCAGCATCAATACAAGTCTCTCAAAACATGGCTACCTCAGATAGTCAAACTAATTAACTTATAAGCGTCAAAACTTAATCCTTCTTTATCTTATGTTAATCACCAAAACTGAATTGTTAGAATTTCACACAGAAATTTTTTGTGAGAATCTGGCAAAACTAAAAAACTTCAATGTACATAAGCAAGTTTATTTTGTGAATGCAATCGCTACGCACTTGGCAGTTAGTTTATAACAGCATTTGGCTAACATAAAAAAGGTAATTGCAGCAGCAGTTCTTACCTATAGCAAACTTCCATAACTCCAGACTTTATGCCGATGGTTGAATTGAGGAACCTAATTAAAAGTTTGTTTTGAATTGTTTACTTTATAAGATTTACATTCAGATGGCAGTGAAATAAACAGGAATATGGCATTCTCCTGATTCTACTCAAGCATCTAACTTAAAACCTCCTTTCGTCACCTTGTTGAGTGGTTTCTACCTGTAATTTGAATTTATCACGTAGTAAAACATTCTTATATCATGCATAAGTATGTAATTGCATTTTGGTAAAAACTGCTTGCAAGTGGATTAGTGAGTGGCCGTGTGGAAGAACAGTAGATTTTATGGTTAACACTTAGTTACTGAGATTATAGTATACAATGATAAGGTAATTTTTATCATATATTGTCATCTAAATGAGATCTCTACTCAGTTAATAGACAACTGTTTTCAATCACGTTATTGTCTTTGAAAATAACCCTTCATACATGACTGGTTCCTTCAATCTGAAATTTTTCTCATGCTTTTCTCATGAGTTCAGGCTGGGAGTTTGCTAACACACTAAAAGCTTTGGATAAATTAAGATATTAAAGTCATGAATCATAGTTTACACCTCCAGACAATACAACGGGATTATGAATACCTTTTTTTCAGTTTGAAACCTAGCACTCTGTTTACAAAACATGTAATTTTAGGTAAGTTTTGTGTTAATGTGTTGAAAATTTCATGAATGTGAGAACAAAGTCCATTAGGATGATGTAAACCTTTTCGTATGGATGATTGCAGATTGATTTTCAGGTAAGTAGACTGTACTTCAAAATTTATTCATATGGCTGGCGTTCATGATTAACAATCGATGACAAAAATAAACCTCAGTACTGTTAGAAGCCAATTTCACGAATATATAATGCACGAGTGAATTATAACAGGAAAATATTGGAAGTTGAGGAATGAATATAGTTTATTGACTGAAAACTGTACGGATCAATAAAGATCTTAAACGGAAACGGTAGGATTAAGAAACAAAAAGCCAGACACACTGACCACATGCGCTGATGTAGATTTTTTATCTTCAAATTATTATTCTCAATATAGCCATATGTCTCAATATAAAACTGTTCGTCGATGGAAATACAGTCCTACACAAAAGGTAATAAGGCAATAAATTGATATATACAACATCTTAAGTCATTCCCAAACTCGTCATTTCTTTGAAGTATCTGGTACTCAGCAACTGGTATCGTTTTGTCAAGACTTTGTAAACATTTAATGATATTAAAAAAGCCTGGTTATCTTCTAATGTAGCTTTTAATTTATATATACACATATTGGAAGAAGGGATACCTTGTCAAACTACCAAAGTAGGATGACCTAAGCTAGATCTTCACAGGAAGTGGTGCAAAATCATGCTCCTTTTCACAGCAAGTAAAATATTAAGTCCCATCATACACCAGAGACTAAAACATGCTCTCCATTCAAAATTACGACCGGAACAGGCTGACTGGCTGGCTGGCTGGCTGGATTCAGAAAGAACAAATCCTGTGCAGACCAAATGGCAACGCTACACTACGCATCATCATAGAACACAGTACAGAATGGCAGTCAACTCTCTACCTCAAATTCATCCACTTTGAAAAGGCGTTCGATAACGTCGACAGAGAAGTAATTCAGCAGGGAGCTGCTACAACACTACGGAGTATCACAAACCTCTATCAACCTCATTCAACAGCAGCTATTTGCTATATGATATTACATGCCAAGTGTTTCACAGTGGAAAGCTCAGTGGTGCTTTTGAAGTGAAGGCAGGAGTAAGAAAAGGCTGCCGCCCACTATCACCGATCATCTTCCTGATTGTGGTCGACTCGACTGGATCAGGCAGCAAACTGTCAGGAGTGATTAGTGAGAAGACGGATATACGCTGTTTGACCGATGAAAAGAGTCTAGAAGATTTGGATTTCGCAGATGAGGATTCATGTCTTATGTATTGTTGCACAAACACGAAGATCAACATGCGAAAACTAACAAGTTGATAGAAGAGGTGAGACAAGCCAGCGAAGACGGGACTTCCTTCAGATGAACGTGGAGAAGACAGAGGTGGTGAAGATGCCCCACCAGCAACAACAACAAGCACCAATCACCATGAACGGGAGGAACCTAAAGGAAGTTGACTCTTTCACCCACCTAGTTGGGCAGCATCGTTTCAACGAGAGACGGCGGCACAGGCACAGATGAGATCATCAAAACCAGGATCGGAAATACAGCAGGACAAGCCTTCATTAACCTGAAACGAGTGTGGAGATCTTCTGCACTCAGCACAAGGAGTGAACAACATCCGGATTTTCAACACTAATTCAGTCAAGTCAGTGCTTCTATGTGATGGCTCAGAAACTTGGCACGTCACAAAACGTACTTACAACAAAATACAGACATTCATCAACAACTACCGCCTACGCTCACTCCATACTGAAGATGGAGATCAGATGGCCACAATAATAAGAATAAGCAACAAGTAACTTACTCTGACAACGAATCATTCAACAACCTATCGCCCAACGAATATGCAGAAGAAGGAAGTGGATATGGATTGGATTGGATATACACTGAGAAGACGGATTGAGGACATCATGCACTAGGGCAGACCCTCGAGTGGAACCCAGATGGGAAACGACGAGTTTGGCGTCCGAGGCTTGGGTGACATGGAGGAGATCGTGTGAGGAGGAGATGAAAGCTTGTGGGTAGTCGTGGAGCGAGGTTCAAAAGATTTCGGAGAAGAGAGTGAAATATAGGCGTGCTACTGGTGCCGTATAATACACTAGGACTCAATGGACAAATTTTATATATATATATATATATATATATATATATATATATATATATATATATGCTACAGCTGATGTTTCATTATCATACCACGGTCTTCCAATACTTCTCATGGTGACTGAATAATGTGCTTCATGCTTTATCATTTCAAGAAATAGTTTTCCTAGCTTTAGGAAGCGTCATGTGCCCTAGTAGTGGTTCATTTAGGTAGTAAATTATAGCAAGAAAATGAACAGTGTCTAAAGGCGATTTGAACAGATTCTTGAAATGTTTCATCCAGTGTTCCAGTTTACGTCACTGAAAAGAAATTAGGGACGTATCTTTCCGCAACTGAGTCACGTTCATTGTTAATGTTTTTACTCCGATTTTCCAAGCAAATACAGACTATTATGTTTGTGGTATGTCACCATTTTCTTCCATCTCCCTAACGTCACTTTTTCACAAGTGCTATCTATCACTGAGTAAGTTTTTTCTCAGTTTACACTGAAGTTGCTCTAAATGTTTGGTGTGCTTTCAGCCTCCACGAATCACTTTATACTGGTTCACCAGTTCTTGTGACTGCTGAAATTCACTGTGAACTTCTACTTTTTAAGGTCATTCGCGGTCATTACCACTGGTAATTCAGCAAACTTAAGATGACAAACAGTGTCTTTAGGATAAGTAATCTTTTCAACTTTCAGGACCTATCAAGTAAGCATATTTCAGTTGCAGAGCAAGCTTACCCCTAAACCTCTTGAGTGATAATGCACAAAGACTTGTCCGTACTTCAACCATATCTTAGTTGAGGTCACTGACTACCAAGTCAGAGAATGTTACTGATCACATATGAGGTTCTTAGGAGTTAAAAAGGATAGTGTCATGAAAGTTTTTCGCAGTCAAAAAAGGATGAAAGAAATATTTGCTAATAGGCACTTATTAATTTCATGACTAACAAGAAAACTATTTCAAGGATAGTATTTGTTGATAAATTTTATCTACTCATTAGTAGTTAAAATGTTGTAGTAAAATTATCCAGAAAATAATTATTTTAAAAGGCTTCCCGCGAAAATTTATTTATAAACATTTCATGTGAATGCTGTATATACGTTGTTAATGAAACAAATGTTTAACGATTTTGATCTCAGTGCACACCTACAGGGTTGTTAAAGGGAAAATGGTTTTTCCTAGCCTTACACAAAATAAAATAATTCTTAGAACTGCTTCCAAACTTGAAGACCTCCATAAATGTAGGCAGATAGGAGTATGAAATGCTCACCTGTGTCCGAACGCTTCCCATCAGCTGGTTCTTCATCACTTCTACTCTTTTTACATAAGGTAAAAATAACTTGAGGTTTGAGTAAATCCTTTCATAACCAGGGGAACCAAGAACTAATCACATCAGTGAACGTTGTATCTCAAAGTAAAGATATAATGGTCAGGCACTGGTGGACGACCGATTTCATGTTGTCTAGTCGTGATTACT